CTCCCCACTTCTAATGAAAGAACATGCTGCCTCTATTCAGCTGTGTTCTCTCCCTAGCACATTTTCTCTTTTTTATTGATAGCTAAAACTTAATATTAAACTCTCTCAATTTCTACTTAGCGCTGAGTGTCTCCGTCACTTTCTTACTATCTCATGTCTCTCTTCTAGCTAATAATAATAGCAAATATGCTGCGTACCCTGCAGTGGACGTAGTGATTAGCAAATATAGACAAAATTCGAATAAAATCTAGCATCTTATTATTATGGTCTCCAAGGGCCTTCGTGGTCATAGTTCCCAACGGTCTCCTTGCCCTCATGTCCGCCCACCATCCCCTGGCTCCACTTGCCTCCTGGCTGTGCTCCTTCATCCCTGGGAACACACATGCCTCTGGACTGTTACACTCGCCATTCCCTACTTGGAAAACCTTTTCTCTTAATAGTCACAAAGCTCCCTCCTTCACTGAAGTCTCTGGTCACATCATACTTCCACAGAGAGGCCTTTTTGTTCACTAGATATTCACTTTCTGTCCTTTCTGTTCTATTTACTTTATTGATTAATTAATTATCATATGCAGAGTTTCTATAACATTGGAAATTTAAGAAATAGCGAAAAAAATTAAATCTGCATACTTAACCTCTAAGCGATAGAATATTGTGAAAACCATTAGTATCCCTTGTTGCCGCTCTCAAATTCTGTTTCCTCCCCCCATGCCCACCCTCACCGTTGTCTCCACGCAGATGATTTGTCTGTTCTCAGTGCCATTCCTGAATCTTTGCATGAAAACTAAACTTCCCAGGATCCTTCTTTCAATTGGTTACTTGCTTGGTTCAACCAGTGGGAGGCACTTGGAGAATATTAAGGATGAGAAGAGGAGAGAAGTGAGAATATTCTCTTCCCCTCTCAGCGTTTCAGGATGCATCTCCATCAGTGGCTGAGAATGAATCTTCCAAGTTTCAATGCCGTTCCCTCTGGAAACAGCATTCCTCAGGGTTGCTATGTTCCTGAAAAGGAAGCTCTCCCTGAGTTCAGCTCCTGCTGGATGGTTCCCATTGTTGGTTTCTTGTAACTCCATCCCATACCTCTATCTTGTCCCTCTAATCTTTGGAATGGTAGTGGCTTCCTGGTACTGTTCATCTATTTATTTATTTATTTATTTTTTAAAGATTTTTTTTAATTGGGGAATTGGGGGCTAGGAACAGCGCAGGGGAATTAGGGGAAGGGGAACAGACAAGTTGCTGTCGTTTTGTTCTTCAGTCTAGTTGTGGAGGACGTTGCTTCAGTGGCCCAAGCTGGAACCATCATTGTGCTCTTCCCGGGTGAGGCAGATCAGTCGCTGGCTTCTGGACGACCGCTCACTGCGGCTGCTGGCCGCTCACGCTGGCTGCCGGCCATACATGGCAGCCTATGGCAACCCACTGTAGCAGGGGCTGCAGCCCACACCGTCACCGGCGACCCATGGCAGCCCAGCTCCAGGTCGAGCTGTTGTTCAGCATCTTAGCTGTA